GCTGCAGAGGCAACAGGGGTCGGGGCCCTAGAGGCTCTGAGGCAGAGCTGCACGTACGCTGTCTGGCAGAAGCAGAGGTCAAGCGACTACATGATGGAGAGTCAAAGAACCAAACAGACGTGCCTGCCAGCATGGCTGAGAAGTGCTAGGAACAAAAGAACTCTGTCATTAATATTTTGTGACCTATTAGCTTCCATAATAAATCCCCCATACTTGTAAGCATTGTCTGTGAGTTCTTTGTGGCCATTACAATGAATTGTCAATCCCAGCCAAGAAGGAGAGTGTCATGGGAGGTATGACTGGTGTCAGAGTTGAGTAAAGATGGAGGGTAGAGGCATGCCTGCCTTTGCCTTCTGACGATAGACCTTGGGCTGGTGTGGACTTGTATTCTTCTGCTCCTTTATGCAGCCAGAGGAGGTTCGTCATGGCTTCCATCTCGTTTCCTCAGCCCCTTTCTACTCTTCCATATGAAATGATCATTTATGGCTTTATGGAATAGTGTTACATCAAGTAAATAGGTTACCATGCACTAGAAATCTTGGGATGTTGGAATGGTTTTTACCATTATTTAATACCTCTTCTAACACTGATATAATGGCTGTTGGTAGTACAGTGGTTATGCGGTTGACTGCTAAGAGAAATTTGATCACTCAAACCCACCAGCTAATAAGAGTAGAAAGATGTAGCAGTTTGCTTCCATAAAGATTTCAGCCTTAGAAACCCTGTGAGGTACTTCCACTCTGTCGGAATCTACAATAGCAGGTGTTCCTTTTTTTTTTTTTTGGAGGGAGGTCGGGGGAAGAAGGGCACAGGGGCCTAATTTAATGATGCTTTTTCTGACGACTCCTGGTGGTGCTGCGGGTTAAGCATCGAACCGCTAAACACAAGGTTGAGGTTTCAAAGCCACCAGCTTCTCCGTAGGAGAAAGATGAGGCTATCTGGTTTCATAAATATGTATAGTTTTGGAAATCCAAGGGATCTGTGAACCAAAATAGACTCAGTGGCAGTGGGTTTATAACAACTTAGAATTTAGATTAAGTTCACCTTTTTTTGTTTTAAACTATTTTTACACCCTTACAATTAATAATCACATCACCAAAATGTGCTCATTGTTTCAACCACTGGGCCAATTCATTTCTTCGAGGGTTTTCTTGACTTTCTAGTTTACCAAGCATGCTGCCTTCTTCAGAGACTGGTCTTTTCTGATAATACATTAAAAATAGATGGGGCTAAGTCTCAATTCTTGCTTCTAAGGAGCATCAATGGCTCTACATCATCCAAGAGAGATTTGTTTGTATTTTTGACCATGTATAATGCTTTCAATATTCGTTGTCAACATTGTGATTAAATGTATCCATGCTTCTTGATCCTTCCTTATAATTACATTACTTTTGCTTCTTGGGCAAAAGTAAACCCAAGTAAACTATAATCTTTGGCAACTCCAATCTTTTCACCATTTTTCATGATGGTGTTTAAAGGTTAATTTGAGATGATTTTTGTTTTTTTATGTTGAGGTGTAACCCATATTGAAGGCTTTGCTCTTCAAAAATGAGTGCTTCAAGTTCTCTTTTCTTCTGGGAAGCAAGAGTGTGTCTTCTCCTTATAATAGGAGTTGTTAATGAACCTTCCTTCCACCCTGACCTCCATTCTTCTTCCTATGTTCCAGCTTCTTCGATTATTTTTTCAGCTTACTGATTAAATAAGATGGTGAAGGGATACAATCCAGACACATACGTTTTCTGATTTTAAACTATGCCTTTTGGTCTATGTATAGTTTGCACATGAGCTAAATTAAAGTTTCTGGAATTCCTAACAATTGCAGTGTTAACTATAGTTTTGTATAGTCCTGATTAGGATTGCAGGAAGGCTTATTAATAACCTAAGATATAGATGACATAACTTTTATTGCTGAAAGAGAAGAGGATTTCAAGCACTTGGTGAAAATCAAGTATCGCAGCCTTAATGTGGATTACAGCTCAATGTAAAGACGATTCAAGTCATCAGAATTGGACCAATAGGTCCAACATCATAAAAATAGAGAAAATATTAAAGTTATCAAGGGTATTGCCTACGTTGGATCTATATCACTGCTCATGGAGGAATCGGTTGGATGAAAAGATGTATTGCATTGGGTAAATCTGCTGCACAAGACCTCCAGAATATTGAACAGCAAGGATGTTGACATCTGACCTAAGCCATGGTCTTTTCAATATATGCTTGTGAAATTTGGACATCAAATAAGGAAGACTGGAGGAGAATCGATGCATTTGAATTGTGGTATTGGAGAAGAATGTGAACGTACATTGGATTGCTAAAAGGACAAGCTGGTCTGTCTTGGAAGAAGTAAGGCCAGAATGTTCCTCAGAAGCAAGGATGGCAAGACTACATCTTATATACCTTGGACATAATGTAGAACAAATCTGTCCGTGGAGAAGAAGGATATCCTTGTAAAGTGGAGGAATAGCGAAAATAGTGGAAGACCCCCCAGTGATGAATTGACACAGTGGCTGCAAGGGTGGGCTCAGGCGTCAACAATGATGAGGGTGGTGCAGGACCAGGCAGTGTTCTGTTAGTTGTGCAGAGGGTCGTTTGGGTTGGAACCAACTGGATAGCACCTAACAACTACAATACAGTCGTATTCATTTTCATACTCCATGAAACCCAGGGTACCATATTTCTGGAAGCCTGTGCTTTCTACCAAGGTTCATTTGATATCAGCAATATATTCCTCTTTGCAGAACCTCTTCTGAATCAGAGGAAAATTGTATTTCACAGCCAAGGATATAAAGGGCTCCATTTGAAATTTTTGTTTTAAAACTATAATAGGAAATTTAGGGACAGGTTAGATGATCTCTGATCATGAAATCTATTTCTTTAAAGTAATAAAGCAATTTATTTCAGATGACTGTAGAGCTATACAGATCTATTCGTGAATTGTTAGTCCAAGATTTTAATGGTAGTTGGTTCTCTCAGAATCTGTTAACTTTTTTTTTACATTGAATGTGGCACTTATTTGCTGTCATACAAATTTAAAAAAAAGGTTTGGTGGTCTGTTCAAATCCTTTGCCAAGTTAGCATAAACCCAAGGAAATGGTGTTAGCAGTGGAGAAGGGAGGACTAGACCGACCTGCAGTGCATCCTTAGAAGGTAATTTAGATTAATTATCTAAACAATTAAAGGAAAATACCTGCATTACTTCTACATATGTCTAGGCAACGTGGAATGACTCCAACCGTTTTCAGTTAAACATGAGTTCCATGACATGCGGAATGATAAGTCTCTGTGCTCCTTTAGAGGAAGACTCTGGATTGACCAGGTCATTTTCTACGTGTGTTTTCCCGTTCTCTGACTTACTAATCAGTGAATGGAGAATTTATAATCTGTCAGTTTAAAGGAGGGAAAGATAGCATTATCTAGAATAAAGTTAAACGAAGTACATGTTAAATGTTACAGGATTTTTTCCTTTCAACATATTTGATTGGTTTAAGCCATGTTTTCCCTCTCTAATGTGAATTCCTCTCTTCTCCCCTTCTTTTTTCCATTCTTCCTTTGGAGGAGGGCCATGTGCCCTTTTGAGGCGATGAGAGTGTTCTTCAATTTGATGACTGGTGGCTGAATAGTTTTAAAATATACTTTAAAACCATTCAATTGTACACTTTAAACAATTGAGCTCTATGGCATACATGTCAAGCAAGCTTTTTAGAAACCGTGAAAAGCCAACTAGGGATTAACTGAAGTCACTGGAATAGCCCTTCTGTGATTCATGGGATAGATATTGCCCAACGGTATATTCAGCCTTTCAAGCCACTTGGGAAACTGCTGTCCCAGTTGCAGTTTTTATTACCATCTGGCACCGATATAACTGCACGAACTTGCAGAAATAGACTTCGTCCCAACAATCCTACTACCAGAATTTACCTGGAATGTATGTGTCCCACATCTTTTATCAAAATCCATTTCAAGTAAAAAAATATTTCAGTGCCCTTTTCATTATTGAAAACATTTGCTGTCAATAAAACCGACACACACATAACACACACACACACACACACACACACACGATCAAAGCAGAAACTTTGGTTATGAAAGGGTAAAGTAAAGAAAGAGAACAACCAACCTGTTCTTATCTCAGACTTAATTATAAGAAATGAGAAGACACTCTGCCCGGGACTCAATTGTGTGTCTTTTCAGTTCTTAACAACCTTGTGCCTTTTAGTCTTGTGATAGAAGAGATGGTCTCACAATTCAAAAATTGGCATCAGTTACACCTGTAATTCACCTATATCAATTTGTAGTCTGTACCCTGGAAAGGAGACTTGCTGTGAGGACTCAGAGGAGGATACCCCCCTTATGAAGACAGACCACCGGGTAGCCAGCACTGAAATAGCTAGTGTTTGATTGAATGGGGACTGAAAAGCACATGAAATGTTATTTGCAGATTAATCTCATAGTGTTGGATAAATATCATTTGAACTTTTATTTTTAAAATCTGGTAAGCTTTATTCATTCTCGAGTAAATGCCAAATCACAATTGTGAATATTGAGTTTTTGATAATATTTTAGTTTGGAAGAAGTTTTTGAAATCTGGTAAACATTCTTTGTCTAATCCAATTTCCCAAAATTATTGAAAGTCAAACCTGCTGAAAAAAATCGCACACTGTAAAATTAAGAGAGTGGGAAACCAGGGAATTAGAATCTAACTAGCGTTACACAAATGTGAGATTGTGCCTTTTAATTGTTCTGTCAAAACAGTGTTAATTAAATTATTATTATTGTCTCATCCATCTCACAATGACAGGAAATTTGTTTTTCCTATTATCTCCTATGATTTGATTGCATTTTAATTGGTTTTGAATGATCTCATGGAATACTAGATGCTGTAATAGCATGCATGGTTGATTGGATTACTAAGACTATTTTTTTGTTTATTTCTTATTTTCTCAAGCTAGCATGATTTGCAATCATTAGACTAATAGTTTGTCATGGTCTTTCTGTACCAGACATTACCTACACACTTGATTGGTGAAAATATCTCAGGTGATCATTGTCAGCAGGAAGGAAGATACAGCCCTGGGGTAGGAGACGTCTGGCCGCAGGCCATATAAGACTCCTGACATCATCAATACCAACGAACATCACAGGCCTCACCAAAGGGAAGTTCCAGCCATCACCCTAGGGTGAGTTAATTCAACATTAAATAAACATTTGACCAAATGCTTAAGTTGATAATTTTGTATGGCTGTGAAGGATGCAATAAGTATACAAATGACCTTTGGCAAAAAAACAAAAAAAAGCTTCCCCATCCTTGATATAGTCTTTTACTGGATCTAAACTGTATAGTAAATTTTATCCCAATTCCTTCAGAAACAACAACAAAATCCCTAGAGTATGTCTAGTGGCACAATATTTGAGCGCTTGGTGTCTAACTCACCTGTGGCGCCGTTTGCTCTCAGAGTGAATACTGAAGAGGAGACACTATGGTGCAGTTCTACGCAACCTCGAAGGTTGTTACCAATTAATGTCAGCACAATGGCACACAACAGCATAGTCTGTCTAGAAAATTGCTTCATACTTACTCAACAATGTTATCAGTATATTTTTTATTATTTCTACTTCATTATTAAATTTTTTAATGCTTGATGAACATTTTTACCGAAATTTTCAAGTTAAAATGGTGACAGACTATCCTAGCTAGCCCTCAGTTGTTACTTGCAATTTACTTAGTCACTCAATCATCAACAAAATGTTTTTTCAGTGCCCAGTAGACACCTGGTTCTTAAATTAAAACCACACATAAAACAGATCTCTTGCATTTCTGAAGCTTTCAATTAAGTAGAGTGGAAGTATGGGTAAATGAGGAATTCACAGACAGTGATGAATGACTATAGAGAAACACTGCGAATGGAGAAATGGCTTCTGAAGGGGATCTGAATAGCCAAGTGCACCCTTAATGTGGGGAAGAGTCACCCTTAGTGACTGAGGAGCTATCAGGGCTGAGGAAAAATGCACAAAGGCCTGAAAGCAGAATGTAAAATTCGATCTTCATTTTTAGAACTGTCATTCTAATTTTTGTTTTTATGTCGAAAAAAAAAAAACCCTCAACTAGAGCTAAGAATCTGTATGTTGTGTGTGTGTGTCATCAGGTTTCTTATGTTAAAAATTTCAATTAAAAGAAAAATATTGAAAAGAAAAATAAACTCATTCAAAGTGTATCTGACTTCTAGATACATCATCATAATTTACCTACCTTAGTGTATTTTTTCTAATTAAAAAAATTATATATTCATCAAGCCTGTTCTATATCTTTTAAATATTCTATTTCTTTCTCCAGGTTTTGGAAAATCACTTTTAGTACTTCGGCTAGAATCGATTTCTTTTAAAGTGCTAATTAGTGGTTGAATTAAAAATAATTACTTATTAAAGGACTTCTCAAACTTAACAAATTTAAACACACTGGTTGGTTATTTGCTAAGAACATTTTCTGTTGTTATTCTTGTTTATCAACATATGCATATATATTACCGTGACCAGATTTTAACATTGGTAAAGCGGGACAAAAGCGGGACACCATTGATAAAACTCATATCCTGGCGAAATAGCCACATGGCTGCCGAAAACCGTATACCTTAGCTTGTCATGCATTCTTTTCAAAAATTGGGACTTTTTAAAAATGCTGCGGGATGTGGGAAAAATTGTTAAAAATCAGGACTGTCCAACCAAAAGCGGGACATCTGGCCACCTTAATATATATACATCTAGAGAGAGGAAGAAAGGGAGAGAGACAAATGGACGTGTATGTGTGTGGATATGGTTTTTCCATGGTGTCTCTGAGTCGATGAAGGCGTGTATATGGGAGTGGGTGTATCCCTAAGTACTCTTGGTCAAATTGGTACTTGTTTTCTCTCTGACAAATAAGAAATTTAAGAACAGAAGCATTTTAGATTTGCTTTTGGAAGCTCAAAGTGGCAGCTTTCCTAGGTCCTATCAGGTCTCTGTGAGTCTGAATCGTCTTGATGGCAGCACATTTGATTTTCATTTGCTTTTCCACTTTAAACTATGAGACTCTGGTACATTATCATGGCTTACGATAAATAGGAGTATGTGCACGTCTATTTAAAGATGAATCAAAATAGACACATTCAATTTAATTGAGACTTAAAATATTACCAATATTGAGCTTCAGATAAGATTTTCAATAGTAAAAAGTCTAATCTGAGCAGCACATTAACACTTTTTCTCTGTGATTGCTATGACTAAAAGCCCACTGTTTTATTCCTATGTCTTTGCTGGGACATACAAGTCACAAACTGCAGTGAAAATCTCTTTCATACTTTGGGAGTGTGCGTGTAAACATTGGAGAGGCTTTGTGACTGCTACTTAGAAGCACTGACCCTGCATAGCGCTAATTAGGTCTCTGCTGCTTTACTCTCCAAGCACAGGGACTCATCCAATACATCTTTGACCTCCATTTAGAGAAACACCATCTAGAAGATTAGTTATTCATAAATCCTCAGGAGACATTCAGAAAGTTAATCTCTCTTCCTATGTGACCTGCTTTGAAAAATAATCAGGTTAGTGTGATTTCTTCTCCTGGGCTGTTCCCACTTCATTGATTCATCTATTGAAAAATGTGGGTCAGGGTTGTATCCGTTCACCATACATAGTCAATCTGTATGCTGAGAAAATAACTCAAGAAGCTGGACTATATAAAGAGAAATATAGCCGCAGGATTTTGGGAACACTTACAACCTGTGATGTGCAGGTGCTAGAACTTGGCTTGCTGAAAGTGAAGAGAACTTGATGCACTTACTGATAAAGGATCAAAGGACACACATGTTAGTGTGGATTCCATCTCCACATAACGAAACAAGAAATCCTCACAACGCGATCAATAAGCAACATCACAATAAATGAAAATGCTGAATTTTTTCAAGGATTTTATTTTACTTGGATACATAAGGAATGCTCATGGAAGCATCCGCCAGAGGTGCCATCATGTCTGTCCCGACTGCAGAATGAAACTTCACCCGGTCCTGCACCGGCCTCACAATCGTTCTTGTGTTGGAGCCGTTTGTTGCAGCCACTGGGTCCATCCATCCTGTTGAAGGCCTTCTTTTTTGTTGTTCCTCTCCATTACCAAGCATGACGTCATTTTCCAGGGACTGGGCTCTCCTATTAACATGCCCAAAGAACATAAGTTGAAGTCTTGCCATCCTTGCTTCTAAGGAGCATTCTGGCTGTACTTCTGAGTCAGATTTGTATGTTCTTTTAGCTGGCTGTGTTACTTTCAATATTCTTCATAAGCGTCATCATTCAAATGCATGGTTCTTCTTTGCTCTTCTCTAATCAATGATGTAATGACTTTGGGAAAATTTGCAGCAAAATGCCTACTTTGAAATGTTAAGAAACAAAGATATAATCTTAAGGATTAAAGTGTACTGATCCAAGTCAAAGTATTTTTCAGTGGTCAAATATGCTTGATACAAGTAAAGAAAAAAATTTTAATGGTGCATTTAAATTGTACTATAGGCAGAGAATATCGATTATACCATGTACTGCTAGAGGAGTACTGTTTTGGAGGAAAGTACAGCAGATTGCTCCTTGGAAGCAAGGATGATGAGACTGTGTCTCATGTCTTTTGTAAATGTTATCAGGAGGGACCAGACCCTGGAAGAGGACATCAGCGAAAAAACAGAAGGCCAGAGACAAAGAGTATGACCCTCAAGGATATGGATTGACACAGTAGCTGCATCAGTGACTGCAGACAAAGCAATGATTGTGCTGATGGTGCCGAACAAAGCACTGTTTCATTCTGTTGTACCCAGGGTTGCTATGGGCTGGAACTAACTCGATGGCACCTAACAACAAAAAATTATTTTAAACTGTCCTTTAAAAATTTAACATATTAACATTCATTTTCACATAAGAAGCCTTGGTGGCATAGTGGGTTATGTATTGGCTACCTTGAGGTTAGCAGTTTGAATCCACCAGTTGTTTCAAAGATGAGGCATTCTCCTTCCATACAGACTTACAGCCTAGGAAACTCAGAGAAGTAGTGCAACTCTGCCCTGTAATTTCGCTATCAGTTGAAATTCACTTGAGGGTAATGGTACCCTCCAACATCAACATCATTCATAGTCTAAATATTATTTCTGTTTATATCTATATCTCTATATATACATACACTATTTCTTATATGTATTTAATAGTGAAGTTGTAGGTTGTGAAATATTTGAGGTGAAATGTTAAAAGTTTTATGTTTCTTTTTTCATTTTATTCCAACTTGAAAAGTACAAATTAGAACTCAATGTTTAGGCAGTATGTTCTGTAAAGTCTTGGTACTTTTATCACCAACAAAGTTTGGATTGTGCATCCCATATATTTGACAATTCTGTCTTAGATTCAAATCCAAGTTCTGTTGGTCAGATAAATTAGCAGCAGTATACATATTTTATGATTAATTAGCATTATAGAATGGATAGAATAATTTGAAAATAGCACTTGAAATATTTTGAAACAATTTTACCATTATTATGTGTATATATGATACTGTTATAGTTATTGTTATTGACATAATTCACATCATACAATGCAATGGTTCAGTCATATAAAGGAGAACTGTGCAATCCTTACTACAGCAAATCTTAAAGCATCTTCTTTTTTCTTGTACTCCACACTTATCCATCTGCCATGTCCCCAGCCATGCTCCACGTGGTTGTTGCTAACTGCCATTGAGTTGCTTCCATTCATAGCAGCGCTCTGTACAATGGAAGGGAAACCCTGTCCTATGACACCCTCAGTTGTGCTGATGCTTAAACATATTGTTGCAGCCACTGTGTCAATCCATCTCCTTAAGGGTCTTCCTCCATTTCACTGTCCCTTTACTTTCCCAAGGGTGATGTCCTTCTCCAGGGATTGGTCTCTCCTGACAACATGTCTGAACTATGTAAGATGATGTCTCACCATCCTTGCCTCTAAGGAAAACTGACTGTATTTCTTCCAAGACAGATTTGGTTTTCCCTTTGGCAGTCCATGGTACTTTCAATATTCTTTGCCATGCCTCCAGGAGCTATTATTCCAGTTACTGTCTTTATAGATTTACCTATCCTGTATTTCATGTCTACAAAAATAATACAAAACAACAAGAACAACAAATAGCCATGACAAAATAAAACAA